ACTATACACCCCTATACAGCACAACACACCCCTATACAGCAATATACACCCCTATAAAGCACTATACACCCCTATACAGCACTATACACCCCTAAACAGCACTATACAGCACTATACACCCCTATACAGCATTATACATCCCTATCCAGCAGTTTACACCCCTATACTGCACTATAAACCCCTATACAGCACTATACACCCCTATAAAACACTTTACCCCACTATACAGCACTATACTCCCTATACAGCACTATACACCCAAACACAGCACTATACACCCCTATATAGCACTATACACCACTATACACCCCTACACAGCACTATACACCCCTGTGCAGCACTATACACCCCTGTGCAGCACTATACACCCCTATAAAGCACTAGCCACCCCTATGCAGTACTATACACCCCTCTACAGCACCATACACCCCCATAAAGCTCTATACCTCCCTATAAGGCACTATACGCCCCTATACAGCACTATACAGCACTATACACCGAAACACACCACTATACAGCACTATACACCCCTACACAGCACTATACATCCCTATACAGCACTATACACTCCTACACAGGAGTATACACCCTTATACAGCACTATACACCCAAATACAGCAGTATTCACCCCCTATACAGCACCATACAACTCTATACAGCACTATACACCCGTATACAGCATAATACACACCTATACAGCACTACACACCCTAATACAGCACCATACACCCCTACACAGCACCATAAATCCCTATACAGGACTATACACCCCTATACAGCACTATACATCCCTATACAGCACTATACATCCCTATAAAGCACTATACACCCCTATACAGCACTATACACCCAAATACAGCACTATACACCCCCAAACCGCACTATACACCCGTATACAGCACTATACACCTTTATACAGCACTATACACCCCTAAACAACACTATACAGCACTATACACCCCTATGCAGCACTATACAACCCTATACAGCGCTATACACCCCTATACAGCACTATACACCCCTATACACCATTATACACCCGTGTACAGCACTAGACAGCACTATACACCCCTATACAGCACTATACAGTAGTATACACCCCTGTACAGCACTATAGTTATACACCCTGATATAGCACGCTACATTCTGATATAGCACTATACACCCCTATAGAACAGTAGACGCCCCTATATAGCACTAGACACCCACAAAACTATACATAACACTAAACATAACAGAACGCCCATAACACTATACATAGATACATCTAGAAACTGTTTTTCATTGAAGCGGCTGTCATTTTGTTAACAAGCGAATACTGCTACTCTACTCAATATCTACCACAGAATAGATAGTGAGTAGCGTAGCCAATAAGCTCACGGCATTCGTAATAGAACGCTGGCAGATTTATACTAATACTGAACAGATGCAGGGCAACATGGAATTTAATTACATATACACGGTCTACTATGTATTTGCATTTGAAAAATGGCAAAACGACTGGCCATACTGTCGGATGGATG